GACTGCCGCTTTACGCATCATATCAGATTCCACGCGTAGTTCCTATAACCGTAACGGCAAGAAAGGACGTGCGGGAGAAGGCGTCCATGATCTTTTGGCCGGCCATTTTCACGGCGTCTCCGCGCACGTCAAATCAAATGAGCGCACTTTGGGACGACGCCGCAACACTCGTGCGAGCAAAGATGAAACAACGCATTGAGCGGTGCAAGGCCATAGGTCAGAACCCCAGGATTATGATTCTGGACGGCGTTAACTTGTATAAGATGTTGCAACACCCGGCAGAAGATGACTATCAGTTCCTTGCTCGGACGATTCATATAATGTTCAGAATGAGAACCAGCTGCAGAAGGCAATTCTGGCTGAAATGTCTGAGGATCGCATCTTGGGGGCCGCCATGCTAGCAGCGCTGTTCTTTTGTCAGCCCTCTGGTAGCGCAGCCGTCCAGGTGCCTGGACTTGCAGGGCAAAGTCGAGACGGCGGATGCGCGCAGGTGGAGGCCTCGTTTGATGATATCAGATATCTGGTGCCGTATTGGACATAGTGGCGCCCAACGTGGCCGAAAGTCCCAAAGTCAAGCTTGGGGACTTTGCCGTTCGCAGCGCCCCTCTCCCCGGTTAGATTCCCCGCCGTCCCAGGCGGTGCGGGGGGCGGGGCAAGGCGCTCATTGTTGTCCGAAGAATGGTGCGAATTCCTATCGTCGGGAGAAGATTTGAGAAACGTGTCCAATGGGAAAGTATACCACTTCATCCTCGAGCGCAGCACTCCTTCTATTCCTGGCCTGGCATGCCTCCTAAGGGGCAAACTATGAGGTCCAATGAGGAAAAGATCAAAATTGACAAGCACGTGCAAGAAGCAGTTAACGAGATCAACAACTCACGGCCGCCGTTTCAGCCACCTGCCGGCTTAGCCGGACAGGCGGCTGGGGGGGCCGTGACTGCTTAGTTCGCCGCCGGCTCAGCCGGACTTTTTGATTGACGGCTCCAGGGGCAGATCCAAGGGGCGGGGCGGTCTCGGCAGGGGCGCAACGCGAGATAATTGGCTGCGACGGCGCATGGGCCGACGCAACAAGTGCACGTGCCCGGAGCAAAATGCCCCCCATTAAGATGCGGGCGACCCGGGAGCGGGGGCGCAGGCGTCGAAAGCAAACAGACGGGGGAGGAGTCGCACAGTGGCGCCAGCTCGAGCCGTGCTGACCAGCGCGCACTGGCGTGGGTCACGCTCGCTGTGGCAGCACGGAGGGCCAGTGAGGCCGCACCGTCCATCGCGACGAGGAGGCGAAGGAGCGAGGAAAGGCGGCGGGCGCGAGAGCACGCGCGGAGGGGGGGAACCGAGGGGCGCCTCACTCGCATGGACTCCTGGGAGTAGTCGGGCACAAGCGAACGACCTATGCGTGGAGACGTCGTCCCTGTCTCGGAGTCCACAACCTGCAATTGCCTGACTCTGAAGGCCGGGGGGATGCAGCTGCAAGCGCGGTCGAGCACCACGGACCACCCTGCGGGAGGGCCGAGAAGCACTGCCAAAGGATATACCACTGTGCAGTAGCGAGAGCTCGATGGCGGCGCCCGCCGTGAGAAGCGGGACCACCAAGTCGTCGGCGTACAACGCGGGCAGCTTATCCATCGCGAAGGACGGGGGCACAAAGATGCGAGCGTCAACCGGGGTAGCAGGGGCGGACCTGATGGGGGAACAACGGCAACCGGCCAAAGGGTGAACCACTTGTCGGGGCAGCGCTCTTCCTCAGGTCCGGCCCCAGGTGGTGCCGGGGCGGTGGCGCGCCAGGCTGCGCCAAGCCGCAGCCCAGCACCAGAGGCGCCGAGAACCACTCCCAGACCACGAGGGCGAACCGCGCGCGCTCCAGGGGCAGGAGGAGTCGCACCGGCGGGGGCGGACTGCAGCAGACCCGGGCTGTCCGAAACAACGCGTGGCAGCCGCGCAACCCGACCGCACCTCGGAGCCCTGCCAGTGAGCCTCCAGGTGCCAAGGATCCCGAGTGTTCCATAGGAGCCTCGATGGGGGGGAAATCGAGAGGAGGAGCGGGAGCCGGCGCCATTATGTCGTCGTGAGTCGGCGATGCCACTGTGGTCGCTCCACTGTGCCCTGTGGGGGGCCCGGGGACTGTGGGGGGAACACCGCGCCAGCAGGGCCAGACTTTCGCGGGCCTTTTCTGACCGATGCTTCTTGGCGGCTCCAGCCATCGGACGGCGCCCCGAGTCTGGCCGGGGGCCATCAGGGTGCCTTCGAGGCCCGTGCAGCTCCTCGGCATCAGACTTCGCGTGGGGGCGCAGCCGAGAGCCGCAGTGCCAGGTGGGCAGCGCTGGGGAATCCGAGCTACGCGGAACGCCGACTGAGCAAGGAGGAGGAGGAGGAGGGGGAGTCGCAGCCGATAGCCGCACAATCCAGTTAAAAAGTGGAGGAGCAGGAGGGGGCGCCACTCAGTCGTCGAATGTCGGCGATGCCACTGTGGCTTGATCAGGTCAAAGACACGTCACGAGTAGCCCCGCTCGTTGTCGTACCAGGCCGCGAGCTTCACGACCGTGGGATCCAGTATGATGCCCGCCCTGGATTTGAACGTGCTGGAGATAGGGCACGTCTCGAAGTCGGTGGACACAAGGGCCTCGTCGCAGTAGCCCAGGAACCCCTTCATGTCGCCCTCCGACCGCCTCTGATCTCGGCGCAGAGCTCCTCGTAGGTCGTCGCCTTCTCCAGCTCGCAAGTGAGATCCACGACCGTCGCGTCGATGGTGTGGCGCGCGGGCAGCCATGCCGGTGAGCTTGCCCGCCACCTCTGGCACGACCCTGGCCACCGCCTTGGCCGCCCCCGTCGAGGAGGGGATGATGTTGCCCGACGCCGCGTGGCCACCATGCCAGTCCTGCTTCGACGCCCCGGCCACGGTTGGCTGAGCCGCGGTCATGGCGTGGGTGGTGGTCATCAGGCCCCGCTTGATGCCGAACGCGTCGTTGACAGCCTTCACCGTGGGGGCGAGGCCGTTGGTGGTGCACGAAGTGCCCGAGACGCAGGCCATGCCACTCTGGAAAGGGGGGGGGGGTGTCCTGGTGCGCCCATCACTATGGTGTGGCTGTCGTCCTTAGCCGGGGCCGAGAACGCGTCCTTCTTCGCGCCCGCCTTGAGGTGCGGCTGGATCTTCTCACCCGTCAGTAACACGCCGGTGGACTCGCGGACGTAGTCCGCACCGTGCTCCTTGAAGGGGATCTCTGTCGGATCATGGGTGTGCGACAGCGCCACCTTGTGGCCGTCGATCACCAAGGAGTCCCCGTCGACCTCGACAGTGCCGTCGTACCTGCCGTGGATCGAGTCGTACTTCATTTGGTACGCGAGATACTCCGCATGCGCGCTGCACGAACCCAGGCAGATGCCTAGGCAGGTCCCGAGGGACCATCACCCCCGGAGGGGTGAAGATAGTGGTAGTTGTTGTCCCGGACGGGTATGTACTGGAAGTACTGCCTGCCTGGGTCATCCTCGAGGACATGGCTCAAGCTTGGGTATGAACTGCTCGCTGGTCGAGGTATTTTTGGTGGGGCTCGCGGAGGAGGAGCTGCTGAGTCGGACTGCGAGTTGGGGGCGCCCCGACGCTCTCTCAACGCATGTCGCCTGATCTTTGCAAGGCATATCAGATTGTGTTGCCATTGTTCCTTGTAGTTTTGGGGCAGCCGAGAGGGCCACCCTGTCTTTCTTTTAAATGCAGAAGACGGCGTCACCATACCGACGCGGAAGCACGAGAGTGCGGGGCAGTGCCACGCCTCATGGTTCCAGCAACTGACTTCGCCTCCACACCTGTGACAACGAGGAGCAACAGCCCCGTTGAGGATCTTGTCATACTTGGCAGTGCTCCAAACAGCACCCGTGAGAACAGCGATCGCATGGCTCCCAAGATCGCTCTTGATTAGATCGTGAAGCAGCGCCAGGGCCTGCGGGGCGAAGCTGACCCGCGCGGACGCGGCCAGCAGCGAGTCCTTGCGCCGCATGCCCTTTGATGCGTCCCACCACGAACGCCGCAGTGCAAGCCGCACCAGATGCTGCGCCACCTTGGTGGAGAATGTTGGACAAATACTGATTGGATCGTCTCCCAGCCAGCCTTGCCAGCCCTTTTGATTGTTGTGCTCGCAGAAGCTGAGGGACAACTTGTTCATCAAGTCGTTGAGCATGGCGGTGGGGCCACGGTGGCGCGTGAGACGACGCACTGCAGTCGGGACAGGCGCCTCCGCGACCTTGGCAAGGTAGTCGATTGCAACTGCTCCTTGCCGTTTGTACCGGGCCCGCCAGATCACCCACAGACGCGAAATAATTATGTAGAGGATGCAGCAAGAGTGCCCTGTGACCAGCAAATGTCTGAGATGAAGACAACCCGAGCGCCACCTGCCTCCGAGGACGGCGCGGTCGATGTAGGACTGCCACTTCTGGATCTTGATCTTGCCCGGAGGCGACCGCACAGCTACCCAGAGCAGCCGGGCGTAAGCACAGGGCATCAATCTTCTCTTCTGCCACCACGGGAATGGTAGTGAACGAATGCGCCGGCATCGCTGCTGAAGGATCCGGACCGCAGGGGCCTCGTCCTCAGTGCTGGGCTTGCCGTGGAGGGTCATCTTGATACCGAGCACCTTCATCTCCTCGGAGGGGAGCTTGCGGGCACCTGGGAACAAGTCGATGGTCTGTGTCTTTTTGGGGTTTGTGCACATAGCAGTCAAAGACTCGAAAACTTGCCACACCTGCTGAACAACCTGCATGGTGCGAACATCTCTGGTGATGGTGGTCCGGTCGTCTGCGTAGAGCGCGCTCGTGGCCGACGGCGCATGCCTCTGCGCACGATGATGCGGCAGTGCTAACAACGCAGCCATGGCGAGCATGCTCAAAGGGTCCCCCTGGGCAAGGCCCCTTGATACATGGACGAATTGTGGGTCGACGTACGTGCCAACCTCTATGTATTTGTACTGGTCTGTCCAAAAGGCTCGGATAGCACGTAAAACGTGAAGAGGCACCCCAAGTTACTCGAATATGTCAGTCGTGAGCATGGTGTCGACGCGATCAAACGCAGACTCGAAGTCCCACGAGGCCACGTGGAGCTCAGCATGACCTGGAACAGTGAGGTGCTCTGCGTCCGTGCCGCATTGCTGCCATAACCAATTGCTACGGGTCTCGTCAATGCTCGAGAGAAGAGGCTCGATGATATGTTCAATCGTGACTCCTGGGATGCCGCCGGCCTGCCCGGCCGGCCACATGGGTTTCAAGAGCTCCGCAATCTGCCCGGCGCGGAATCTGGCCCACGCCCTCCACCAAACGCAGGCGATGCTGATGGGGCGGAGCCTGGCGACCTCTGGGGTGCCGCGTCCGCTGTCCTTCGGGATATGGATTTGGCGCCACTTCAACCAGTCGGTCGGCGGTCGGGCGCCCTCTTCGATCTTAGCAAAACAATTGATGAGAGATTCGAGGGCCGAGTCCGGCAGCAAAAGGGCCTCATCGGCAGACCAGCCGTCAACGCCGCAAGCCTTGCCCCCCATGGGTTTGAGGGCGCGCCTGAGCTCATTGACCCCAGGTAGTGGGAAACGATCCAGAAACCCAGTCGGCTCCCTCCATGCGCTCTCCGCCTGGTCCCTGGCGGCGATCCTGCTCTTGAAAGTGTCGAGCTCCTCCCAGAACTCGTGCATGAAGTCGTTGATCTTGTTGCCATTCCCACGGGCCTGATATTGCTGCTGGTAGTGTTCACGGACGGCATGTGCAGCCCCAGCGCCAGTGAAAAGCCTATCCTTGATTCTGACCGCTGCGTCCGTTGGCCGCCACTGTGCTCCTCGGATCCACTTGTATACAGCAGAGCCGCCGGGGTCGATCTTCATGCGGCGCTTCCATGCCGAGATCCTCTCCCTCCGGGAGACATCCAATTCGTGCTGGAGACGCTGATGCGCCTGGTCGAGTTTCTGCTGGCGGGCGCCGGTCAGCCCAAGGCCACTGGCAAGCATGCCTGCTTCAGTGGCGAGGCCCCGCTGCCACTTCAGGCCAAGCTCCCGGGCGACCTGGATGAAGCGTCGGAGCCGGTCCTCAACACAGCTAGTCTTGGATACAGGGCCGCCCCCAAGTTCAGGTTTTTCTTGCACTCGGCATTTGTGTTTCCAGTCGCCTTTCGGCATAGTGGTCGGGGGGTTGAGGACGAGCATGTGCTGCAAGCAGGCCTCAGATGCCTCTGACCACGCCTGCCACCAAGAGTCCATGTCGCCATACTCCTCCATCCCAGTATGTCTGTCATAATTCCCCATATTGTCATTCCAGAACAGCTCCGCCGTATCCAGCCAAGCCGCCATTTTCACTTCATCATTCTGGAAAGTGTCCGGTCGCAGGTGCCGGCGTAGCTTGGCCCAGTGGTAGGGCTGCCTGTCACCTGTGCTGGGGGACTTGTCCACGAGCATGGGCATGTCCAGCAATGCGAGCTTATGATCCGAAATGTGATGTGACGCGCAGAACACCGAGGATGCGAGGGGCGCCCAATCTGCACGGATAGCGAAGTAGTCGATGGCCTCGATGCGGGGCCCTGTCCATCGAGTGGCCTCCGGAGGAACCAGGAAGCGATAGTTGAGAGTCGTGTCGAACTCGACGCTGAAAGGCGAGTCGGCCTCAACATTCCAGTCGCCAGCGAAAACAACAGTGTCGCAGGCTGGTATGGCTGCGGCTTGTTCCAACAACCATGTCTTGAAGTCATCTGTGGCGTCCATGTCCGCAATGCACCGGCGGTGCAGGTTGACGAGCCAGAAGAACGTGTCGTTGCGGTGCACGGTGTAGACAGAAGCCTCGCCTCCAGGGAAGCGAGCGCCTGCGCGCCAGGCAGGGCGCCACATGTTAGAAGTAAGGACGACTGTACCTCCCCCTGCAGGGATCCCCCGGCTGGCCTGCCCAGGGCAGTCCGACACAGTACCCGGGAGCATGTGCCAACCAGATTTGGTACACTCGGCGATCTGGGAGGCCATCTGGTACTCGTTGATGCGGGACTCCTGGCACGCAAGAATGTCGACGCCCAGCTCCGTGGCCGCCCTCAGTGCAGCATCCCGGTGGCGCCACCAGCTGGCGAGGTTGATGGTGCCGATGCGGATTTTGATGGCCTCCTGCGGCAGGAGTATCACGTCTAGCTTGGAAGATGTGGTCCCAGTAAGGTTCTCGTCGCACGCGACGAGCTCGCCCCCAGGCTTCAGCCTAGTCGATGCTGGCGTCGGTGCTGACATCGATGCAGGCGCCGATGCAGGCGCAAGCTGCGCTGTCGGCGCTGGTGCTGGCGTAGTCGCTCTGGGCGTCGATGCTGACGTTGGTGCAGGCGTTGGTGCTGGCGCAGGCGCTGGCATAGATAACAGTGCTTGTGCTGGCGTAGTCGTTGCTGGCGTCGGTGCTGACATCGATGCAGGCGCTGATGCAAACGCAGGCTGCACTGTCGGCGCTGGTGCTGGCGTAGTCGCTGCGGGCGTCGATGCTGACGTTGGTGCAGGCGTTGGTGCCGGCGCAGGCGCTGGCATAGGTAACCGTGCTGGTGCTGGCGTAGTCGTTGCTGGCGTCGGTGCTGACATCGATGCAAACGCTGTCGTCGTCGGTGCTGGTGCTGATGCTGGCGTAGTCGCTGCTGGCGTCGATGCTGACGTTGGTGCAAGCGTTGGTGCCTGCGCAGGCGCTGGCATAGGTAACCGTGCTGGTGCTGGCGTAGTCGTTGCTGGCGTCGGTGCTGTCCTCGATGCAAACGCTGCCGTCGTCGGTGCTGGTGCTGATGCTGGCGTAGTCGCTGCTGGCGTCGATACTGCCGTTGGTGCAGGCGTTGGTGCCGTCGCAGGCGCTGGCATAGGTAACCGTGCTGGCGCTGGCGTAGTCGTTGCTGGCGTCGGTGCTGACATCGATGCAGTCGCTGACGTCGTCGGTGCTGGCGCTGATGCTGGCGTAGTCGCTGCTGGCGTCGATGCTGACGTTGGTGCAGGCGTTGGTTCCGGCGCAGGCGCTGGCATAGGTAACCGTGCTGGTGCTGGCGTAGTCGTTGCTGGCGTCGGTGCTGACATCGATGCAGGCGCTGACGTCGTCGGTGCTGGCGCTGGTGCTGGCGTAGTCGCTGCTGGCGTCGATGCTGACGTTGGTGCAGGCGTTGGTGCTGGTGCAGGCGCTGGCATATGTAACAGTGCTGGAGCTGGCGTATTCGTTGCTGGCGTCGGTGCTGTCATCGATGCAAGCGCTGACGTCGTCGGTGCTGGTGCTGATGCTGGCGTGGTCGCTGCTGGCGTCGATGCTGACGTTGATGCAGGCGTTGGTGCTGATGTGGGCGCTTGAGCAGAAAGGGGGCTCAAACATGTACCGATGCTTTGTGGCCCAATCGCTGCTGCCGTCGATGCTGACGTTTGGGGCGTTGGTGCCTGCGGAGGCGCAGGCATTGGTAATGGTGCTGATGCTGGCGCGGTCGCTGCCGGCGTCGGTGCAGACGTTGATGCAGGCGCAGGCGCCGTTGCAGGCACAGGCATTGATGCTGGCGCTGGCATTGGTGCTGTCGTGGTATTTGGATTGTTTGGTGCGGTCTCGTCAGGTGGGTCTGGCGACCCGTCGCGGCCCAGGGCCGCGGAAACCTCAACACCGACTCCGGGGCCCCTTCGGCCCCCATGCATGCTGGCGCGCCCAAGCCAGGAAAGCCTGGAGGCGTTTCTTCTTGGACATCTGGTTGTTCTCGCCCGCGCAGAACGTGAGGAACGAGTCCCACTGCTGATCAGAAGGTTGGCGAACGCCGGTGCTCCGCCACGCTGCAATGAGGTCTTTGCGCTCGTCTGCAGGCCTGGCGTGCCAAGCGCAACGTTTGTCAGAACGCCTCCAGCCGCTAGCATCGCCGTACCACGGCTTGCACAGATGGCCCTTCCAATCAGAGACGGTGTTGAAGCACATGTTGTGGCACTTCGCACAAGAGTATAGGATGCTGCCGCCGGCCTGTGGGTGCCTCTTCCCTGTGGTGATGACGGCTGCTTTGCTGCGCGTCTGCTTCCCGAGTAGACGGCGCGCCCGGAGCAGCATTGACTGGTGGAGTTTGTTCTTGTGCTCAACGGCGGCACGCACCTGCTTGTGTTTCCTGGACCTGTTCAGGGAGGTGAACTGCTGGAAGGTGTACTCGTTTTTGTGATCGTCTTCCCAGTGCTTGCGGAGGGCTTTGGCCTTCCACGCTGTATTGGGAAAGGAGGAAGCACCCTTGGTACAGAGCGAGCATGACCATGCCCGTTGATCAGCAGGGATGTTTTCTGAGATCGTAGGCATAGTGAGGTACTTCCTGATGGCTGTAGCTTTCTTGCGCTCCTCGATGGTGTGACTCTTGGTAAGATGGTCCGCTCGACGGCGCGAGAGGCGCATCATGCACCTCTCGGCGCCGACCCAACCGCAGAGATTGCAAATCCATTTGTAGAGTTCCGCCGGGTGCTTGCGCGGGGCGGGCTGCGGGACGGCGTAGCAGGCAGCGCCGGGGCCGCGACGTGCCTCAGTGCGCCGGGAGGCGCCTGCTGGCGACGGTTGCCGTATAGAGCGTGCCCTGGAAGAAGAAGGTGTCGCCGCTGCCTGTGGTGCGCTGCGCCTGCGGTCAACAAGATGTTGAAGCCAACTATCCACAGTGCGAGTGCAGGAGCTGCCAGACTGTCTAGAAAATGTGGATTCACCATCGTCATGGCGCACCCGCTTTACCCCAACACGTGGAGCTTTCTTGACTGCGTCAACGAAGGACTGCTTGGCCGGCCTGCGCTTGAGTCTCACGCAGGCTGGACTCCTTCGGGAACAGCACCGTGCAGTGGCCATCCTTGACACCAATGTGCAGAGGCGGGTGGGCAGCCGCCTCTTTGATAGCGTCTTCCGTCCGCGGGATCCATGCGAAGCGTTGGCCCCACTGTCGCTGGCCATCCACGGTGTCGTGCCCCACGGAAGTGAAGATCTGTCGGCGGTGCACCTCTGCGGCGGCATAGACGCCTACGCCATCGATGAACCTCTTTTCTTTTTTTGCACAACTTCGCATGCTCTGAGAAGTTGGTGGGTGGCTTGTCCGTGTCTTCGATGTTGGGGGCAAGGAATTCGATGTGCTGCCACAACTCCTTGGCAAGACCCCCTCCATTCGAGATGTCCTTCGCGACCAGTCCCCGGCATGTCTTGCCAAGAGTCGCAAGCTTAGCGTCTTTGAAAGTGTCGGCAATGCTTTTTCCAAGGGCCAACGCCGCGTATGAGGCGGCAATGGCTTTGTATCCGCAGTCCCATCCGTTGGTCTTCGGGTCCCGCTCGTCGAACATGGATGCAGGCCAAGGTCCATGGACTGGGTCAAGCTTGGACTTGGCGGCCGGAGCCACCGGTGGTGGTACTGAGCCAGATGCTGCGCCGGTCTGCTGAGGCGCGACGTCGTTGGGGACCTCAATGTCGACGCACATTGCATTGATTTCAGTCTGCTTCCGCTGGTATTCATCACGTGCTTGTTGGTCTTCCGCAGCTCGCGCCTGTGCACGTTCTGCGATCTTTGTCTTTTTTGCTTCGCCGTCCATCCCGTCAAGGTCCTGGTCCTCTTTCTCGCGGGCGGCTTTCCTCTTATCATTTTTCTGTTGGAAGTCGACCTCCATCTTCTGCCGCGCATCATCCATGGCTTGGCATTGCAGGATCTGCTGCTCCGGTCGCTGCTGGGGTGGTGGTTGTGGTGGTGTCTCCGGGTCTCCCCGCCACTGCCAGGGGCGGGATCTTGCCGGAGATGTCTTGAGCGTCTTGTCCATGTCCGGCACGAAGCGCGTGACTGTGACGTAGCTGGTGTCCGAGTTGGCGTCCTCGTACGTGATCTGCCAACTAGGAACTTTTGTGTTGCCATTCTTAGGCTGGGTCTCTCCCGGATCCGCCCGGAGGAGCCAGCCAGTGTTGGAAGTTGATGGGATTGCCAGAACCTCGATGCGCGTCCACCCACACTGGTTCAGCCAAGCTGTAAGTGCAGCCTGGGACCATTCCCGCGGAACACGGGTGAGGCGCCAACGGGGGACGGTTGTCTTCGTCGGTTGGCGGCCGCGGACGCCTAGGTCAGACGACCCGCCAGAGGTCCGCAGGCAGAGTCCTTTGCCGACCTGTTGTGCCTGCGCCCACACACGGCGGTAATACGCCTCAGGGTCCTGATCTGCTTCGCGCGGCACGAAATCGACACGGTCGGAGTCAGATGTGGAACCAGCGCGGTCTTTGGCGAGCACCTGGAAGAAGCGCCCATCCTTGCCGCTCTGCTTGGACATGATATCCTCCACCTTGGCCGCCTCAACGATGATATAGCCAGTGATGAAGTCGATATTCCCGTGCTTGTCTTGAGTGTTGGTGAATTTGTCGACGCGGTTGATCCACGTCTTGTCGATGCCCTCGGTGGCGCCGGCCTCCGTACGTGCTCTGGCCTTCTGCCAGCCGTCAGCTGACATGTAACATCGCTTGAATGTAACCCGGAGGGACTGCATCCGGGCCACTGGAGGGACAGTGGGGCCTGTAACCACCGGGCTGCTGAAGACAACGCCGTCCCCCACGGAGTCGATCTTCAAAGACTTCAGGCCCGGCTTGTTTGCCTTGTCCTTGATGGGAATGCTCTTCCATGCCGATTGGTCCTCCCCTGGCTGTGGTGTAGACGCGTCGGTCTGGATGAAAGCCATGTTCTTGGAGATGCCGTGGCTGTCAATCAACGACTTAGCCGTGTCGATCTGGTCCCCAGACATGATAGTAACATCTCATTCTGGGGTCTTCCCTTGCTTGAGGTCGGTCAAAACCTTCTGTGCAGACATCAGCTGTCGGTTGCCAAGTGCTGCTTGGTCGATCCGCCATGCCTTCTTCGAAGGCTCATTGTTGCCAGATGCAGGGAGCTTAGATTTGCGATCTTTGATGATCTGCTCCATTGCTTCCAGCGCCTTTGCTTCGTCAGCCTTATGTTTGGTGAGCACTGAGATGAGTTTGTCAACGATGCCAGTGTTCGAATCGGCCGCAGGAGGGTCCGGCCTGGGCCGAGGCCGAAGCCTAGGCGCCCTCGCTTTGTCGGGGACGGTGGGCGTGCCCGTCGTGGTGCGACCCTGTCTCTGTCGGGTTTGGTGGCGGGTCACGTGGGCGGTACTGTGCCGGTTGTCCTGTCCCTAGCGCTGCCCAGTCCGTGCCTGCTTTGCCATATTGGTAATACTATCCAGGAACGTCTTGACCATGTCCAACTGCTCCTGCATCTTTCTGGATCGATTACGGCCGCCAGCGCGACCGAACTCAGAGATCTGCTTCCGAAGTTGTGCAGTATCACTGTGCTTCGGCTGGTCCGTGGTCGAAGTAAGTACGGTCGAGCTTTGGATTGGGTCGTCGTTTGCGTGTGCCTGTGCGGGACCAGCCGTCGTGGCACTCGAAGCTGAGCGCTGACCCCTGCGAGCAACGTGCTGAAAATGTAGGAGGCGAAGAAAACGGTGAGGCCATCTGTAGCGGGCCTTCCCAATTCTTCGAGCCGCAAGAAAGCGGCCATCCAACGAGCAAATACTGTATGATGCACGCTTGTATCCGCTGGCTGCCGGGTGCTGCACCACCGTCAGCGTCCCCAGGTGGTACACAAGCATGGTAGAGATGTACAGGGACAGAGCGTACAGCCCATAGGTCAGGTTCAAGAAATTGGGAAGAAGCCTAGCTTGAGTATGGCCACCTGCGCGCCGATCGACAAGCCGCGCAGAATAGCTCGAACAGTTATGCGTCAGTGGCTGGACGGGATGACCCATCCCTCCAGCCGGCAGAAAAATGGTAAAGTTGAGAGGCAGATGCCTAGGCAGGTCCCGAGGGACCATCACCCCCGGAGGGGTGAAGATAGTGGTAGTTGTTGTCCCGGACGGGTATGTACTGGAAGTGCTGCCTGCCTGGGTCATCCTCGAGGACATGGCTCAAGCTTGGGTATGCGCTGCTCGCTGGTCGAGGTATTACTGGTGGGGCTCGTGGAGGAGGAGCTGCTGAGTCGGACTGCGAGTTGGGAGCGCCCCAGCGCTCTCTCAACACATGTCGCCTGATCTTGGCAAGGCGTATCAGATTGTGTTTCCATTGTTCCTTGTAGTTTTGGGGCAGCCGGGAGGGCCACCCTGTCCTTTTTTAAAATGCAGAAGACGGCGTCACCATACCGACGCGGAAGCACGAGAGTGCGGGGCAGTGCCGCGCTTCATGGTTCCAGCAGCTGGCTTCGCGTCCACACTTGTGACAACGAGGAGCAACAGCCCCGTTGAGGATCTTGTCATACTTGGCAGTTCTCCAAACAGCACCCGTGAGAACAGCGATCGCATGGCTCCCAAGATCGCTCTTGATTACATCGTGAAGCAGTGCCAGGGCCTGCGGGACGAAGCTGACCCGCGCGGACGCGGCCAGCAGCGAGTCCTGGCGCTGCATGCCCTTGAATGCGTCCCACCACGAACGCCGCAGTGCAAGCCGCACCAGATGCTGCGCCACCTTGGTTGAGAATGTTGGACAAATACTGATTGGATCGTCTCCCAGCCAGCCGTGCCAGCCCTTTTGATAGTTGTGCTCGCAGAGGCTGAGAGACAACTGGTTCATCATGTCGTTGAGCATGGCGGTGGGGCCACGGTGGCGCGTGAGACGACGCACTGCTGTCGGGACAGGCGCCTCCGCGACCTTGGCAAGGTAGTCGATTGCAACTGCTCCCTGCCGTTTGTACCGGGCCCGCCAGATCACCCACAGACGCGAAATAATTCTGTAGAGGATGCAGCAAGAGTGCCCTGTGACCAGCAAATGTCTGAGATGAAGACAACCAACCCGAGCGCCACCTGCCTCCGAGGACGGCGTGGTCGATGTAGGACTGCCACTTCTGGATTTTGATCTTGCCCGGGGGCGACCGCGCAGCTACCCGGGGCAGCCGGGCGTAAGGACAGGGCATCAATCTTCTCTTCTGCCACCACGGGAATGGTAGTGAACGAATGCGCCGGCATCGCTGCTGAAGGATCCGGACCGCAGGGGCCTCGTCCTCAGTGCTGGGCTTGCCGTGGAGGGCCATCTTGATCCCGAGCGCCTTCATCTCCTCGGAGGGGAGCTTGCGGGCACCTTGGAACAAGTCGATGGTCTGTGTCTTTTTGGGGTGTGTGCACATAGCTGTCGAAGACTCGAAAACTTGCCACACCTGCTGAACAACCTGCATGGTACGAACATCTCTGGTGATGGTGGTCCGGTCGTCTGCGTAGAGCGCGCTCGTGGCCGACGGCGCATGCCTCTGTGCACGATGATGCGGCAGTGCTAACATCACAGCCATGGCGAGCATGCTCAAAGGGTCCCCCTTGGCAAGGCTCCTGGATACATGGACGAATTGTGGGTCGACGAACGTGCCAACCTCTATGTCTTTGTACTGGTCTGTCCAAAAGATTCGGATAGCACGTAAAACGTGCAGAGGCACCCCAAGGTGCTCGAATATGTCGGTCGTGAGCACGGAGTCGACGCGATCAAACGCAGACTCGAAGTCCCACGAGGCCACGTGGAGCTCAGCATGACCTGGAACAATGAGGTGCTCTGCGTCCGGGCCGCATTGCTGCGAGATACTCCGCATCGTAGCTAGCGTTGCCAGCTTCAGCTCCGTCTCTGGGTCCTTCATGGCGATGCGGGCCACCTGGCGCTCGATGCGCCCGAAACCGTTGGCGCCAACACCGACCGCCTCCCTGGTCACCTTCGCGGATGAGCGGCGACGGCTCGCGGCCGCGCCCGCGACGCTCGGAAGCGCCCCGAGTCTTGCCAGGGGGCCTTCAGGGCCCTTCGAGGCCCGTGCCGCTCCTCGGCGTCAGACTCCGTGCGGGGGCGCAGCCGTGAGCCGCAGCGTCCGGCGGGCAGCGTTGGGGGGAGCCCGAGCGACGCGGAACGCCGACTGAGCAAGGAGGAGGAGGAGGAGGAGGAGGAGGAGGAGGAGGAGGAGTCGCAGCCGATCGCCGCACAATCCGGTGAATTAGAGGAGGAGCGGGGGGGGCGCAACGATGACGACGTTGAGACGGAGAAGCCACTGGGGTCTCTCCACTGTACCCTGAGGAGGGTCAGGAGACCGTGGGGGGACCACCACGCCGTACCAATGTCGACGTTGAGTCGGAGACGCCACTGTGGTCACTCCATTGTTCCGGTGGAGGGTCTGGAGACCACGGGGAGAACAACGCGCCAGCCCATTGGCAGGGGACTGTGACCTTCCCGGAGCAGCGCACCCTGGTGGCAGCGCACACGGGGGACAAGCTCGCCAGCCCACTGTCGGGGGACTGCGCTGTGGCATCCCAAGATCGGCACAGTCTGGAGACTGCGCGCGGGTGGTGCGCAGCCAGTCGAACGCAGCGTTTGGCCTCCCAGCGTGTTCCCTCCGACATCCTCGGGACGAGCGTGTCTTCCGCGCCGTGGGGGCCTGTCGTTTCTTCACCCTCGCAGCGTGTTTCCTCCGTCGTACACGGGATGAGCGTATCTTCCGCTCCGGGGGAGCCAGTCGACTCGTCACCCTCGCAGCGTGTTTCCTCCGATGGAGAAGCACGGCGCGTCCGACCACAGCCCGTCAGAACCAAGAGGGGGGAAGTATGAGACACCCAATCGCGCTGCAGAGTACGGTGCACAACTCGTAGTCAACAGAGAAGGTGGATCCCAGAGAAGAAATCCAAACTGTCCACGGTATAGCCACACGCGCAGCACGCAGACAGAGGAGACATGAACTGAATTCTGAAAGAAGCAGGAGTCGGGACACATGCCACGGTAGCAACTCGCACGGATGCCACGAGGGGGTAGCAAGGCTACTGTGGGGAGACGGCCCACCATTGTTTTCTGTGCTTCCTGGGGGCCAGTTTATTCGGGTGGCCTTTTGCCGCGTGTTGACCAGTGCTCACTCCGCCGCTCGGACCCAGGTGCCGCTGCCACGCCCGGGCCCAGTCGACGTCTAGGCCCAGCGCTTCGCTGAGGACCCGTACGTCGCACTTGTGGCTGCGGAAGGATTCCAGGAAGAGGTGGCAGGTTTGCGGGTCGCGCCGAAGCGGGTCGAGCGCGCCTTGCGGCCAGGCACAGACTGCCGCTTGGCGAAAGCGTGCCAGGTGCCAGTCAACATTGGCCCCAGTGTGACTTGGAGTCGTCGCATCGCCTCGCCGGGTGTCTCCCCGGGGAGGTCCCACTGGACGTTGTTGATTCCTGTTTTGTACAGCTGTTGTCCTGTGTCGGGGTCCTTTGGCTCTGGCCATTGACGCGGGTCGGGCCCCTGGTGCTGCCGTGTATCCCGGCCGCAAGTCGTCACCGTGGCGGCCTCGTTGTCCTGGCTGGGGGGTTCGCAATTTGCTCGCAACAGCTCCGGCTGCGCGCCTGGCAGAATGGTGCGGGGAAATGCAGGCAGTATGGTTGGCCGCCGGGCTGGGGTCGGACCGCGTCCGGCGGCCAGGGCAGACGTGGCCTTGTGGCACGTGGGGGAGGGTCCCTTTCGCTGGCGTTCGCTTTCGGGCCTGTGCCTGCTGTCGCCCCCACGTGCGTCCCCTTTGGCCAGCGCAAGTCTCTCTCCGTTTTCTGGGGTACCACTGGTTGTGCCGGGCGCGCGTGCGCTCTGCGGCACAACTTCCATAGCCGGAGCGCGAGCTGCTTTGCCGGTGCTGCCCTGGGCGCCTGGCGAGAGCGCCTGGGGTTCGCCGTCAGTAAGGAGCTCGCTGGCAGGGGAAGGGGGGCGAATAGGTGCAAAGGGGTTTCTCCCGACGAGCCAGCGGATGGCCTCGCTGTGCTGTGTCTGGATGGTTGTTCCGTGGTCTCCCGGCTGGGTGCGTGGCGCTACCAGAGGACTGCTGACGCGCTGGTTGCGCTGAGGGGGAAATTTCACGGCTTCCGCGGCCCCCGCCGTTTCCGCCGTGACTTCCCGCTCCATTCCTCTGTCCTGCTGGTACAGAGGGCTGCTGACGGACTGCTGGTCCAGAGGGGGGTGCTCAGCGGCTTCCACAGCCTCCGCCGTCTCCGCCGTGACTGCCCGCTCTTTTTTCTGGCCTGCTGGTGCAGCTGAAGGGGGGGGTCGTTCGTGTGAGCTGTGCACTGGTCACTGCAGGCTACCTCCTCTAGACCTCTCGATTCCCCGCAGTGACGTCGTCGTCTGACCACGAAGTGGGGGGTGGTATCGTGACCTGCTCTAACCGCCTCTCGAGTCCCCTCTGGGACGTCATCCTCTGTCGACGAAACGGGGGGTGGCACGTTGCCGCTGCTGCTGCTGCTATGCTCCGATATGTCGTTGTGCGTGGCAGGATCCCCGGGATGGTCGTCTGTCGTCGTCGTCGCGGGGCGTTGTGGTGGGCCGTGCTCAGGGCGGCCGTCGGGGACGGGGCTGGGGCTCGAGACGCAACGATTTGCATCTGGCCTATCGGGCCCCATTACACTTCTGGGAATAGGTGCGCTCGAAACCGCGCTCCTTTCTGGCCTAACGGGCTCCGTTTCAGTCGTGGCCGAATCCTCCAGATGGTCGTCCGTCGTCCTGGTCACCACGGCTGGAGCCGCCTCGAAATTCTGAGTTCCAGGTCCCGTAAGGCTGGTGCTGCAGCAGCTGCTGCGGCTGCTGTGGTGCTGCAGCGGGTCGGCTTCGTCGTTGTCGGCGTCTTCGTCGTCGTCGTCGTCGTCGTCGTCGTCGTCGTCGTCGTCGTCGTCGTCGTCGTCGGCGTTGGCGTCGGCGTCGGCGTCGGCGTCGGCGTCGGCTTCGGCGTCGGCCTCGGCTTCGGCATCGGCCTCGACGTCGTCGTCGGCCGCGGCCGCCGCGGCGGGCCCAAGCGCGGCCGCGCGGGCCGCGGCGGCCGCGGCGCCGGCCGCGTGGCCCGCGGCCGCGGCGGCGGCCGCAGGGGCGCGGCGGCGGGAGGCGGGAGGCGGCCGCGGCGGCGGGCCGCGGCGGCGGCGGCCGCGGCCGCCGCGGGAGCGGCGGCCGGCGGCCCCGACCGCGGCGCCGGCCTCGCGGCGCCAGCGGCGCCGCGGCGCCCGAGGCGCCCGCGGCGCCGCGGCCGCCCAGCCGGGCGCCGTGCCGGCTGCGCCAGCGGCGCCGGCTCCAGTGGCGCCTGCGGCGCCAGCAGCACAAGCGGCGCTCGCGGCGCCCGCGGCGGCGCGCTGGCGGCGGCGGCGGCGGGCGGCGGGCGACTCGAAAGGCGTCGCCTGCCCGCCGGGTGACCAGCGCCACCCTCGCCAGGCGGCGTCCTGCGGCAGTGCCCCGCCGCGGCCGCCGACTCCATGCGGTGCGGGGGGCGGAGCAAGGCGCTCACTGTTGTCCGAAGACTGGTGCGAATTCCTATCGTCGGGAGAAGGATTTGAGAAACGTGTCCAACGGGAAAGTAAACCACTTCATCCTCGAGCGCAGCACTCCTTCTATTCCTGGCATTCTAAGGGGCAAACTATGAGGTCAAATGGGAAACATATCAAAATTGACCAGCACGTGCAAGAAGCAGTTAACGAGATCAACAACTCACGGCCGCCGTTTCAGCCACCTGCTGGCTTAGCCGGACAGGCGGCTGGAGGGGCCGTGACTGCTTAGTTCGCCGCCGGCTCAGCCGGACAGGGAACAGCCGAAATTTTGGTTGCCAGTTCTGCTGCCAGCTCTGCCGGCCCAGCCGCGCGGGGGCCAGCAGGTGCTGCGACTGCAGTTGCGTCCGGCTTAGTAGCTGAAGCAACGAAGGATTGCGCGCGATCTGTCGAGCCCACAAGAAATCCGGCTGCTGAAACTCCGCCATGGGCCTCCGAGAGGGAAATCCGAGACAAGTGCCCTGAAGGCGCTGAAGGAGGAGCACTGAATGTATCCGGGTCGACAAAGAAGACAAGGAAGTTCCCGCCGTGGCATGTTGAAGCTGGAGGGGGCCCCAAGGATAATCAGGCCTACGAACGCATGTGACCAGTGAAAGTCCAACTCCAAAACGCAGTGCTTCTGCCACAAGGTGAGAGGTCAGACTGGTTCCTCAAGCCTCTGGGGGCGCAATCGTTGATGCAGCGCGGATCCAGCCCCGATGGATTGTGGCCGGGCGAGGATTATGGGTATCTGTTTAGACAGATTCGGGACCATGCCAATCCAATTGATCGTGGACCTCATTGCCAGACGCTGAACAGGTCAGTAGCCGGGAAGATATGGCTGGCCGAATAGATGCTCCAGACCACCACCCGCCGTGCTACACTTTCTTCATCGCGCGCGATTCCCAATTGGGCAAAGTTCTTCGTTGCTGGACGAGACCGATCGGTGTCGGGAGACCCTCGCGCGATTGCTGACCGCGTTGCGTGGGAAAAAGCTGCGGTTCACGAACGCACAGATTCAACTTTTGTGCAACTCATCCTTCCCCTTAGGGTCACTGACCAGAAGATGGGGGAGGTAATTTCTGGAAGCGGCTGGCACCGACAGTCTCATGGATCTTCGGTGAGCATGCTCCATGCCCTCCTCAAGGGGTATCAGCTTCTCGCACCGAACCCCCGATGTGGGGGAGGTGTGAAGCAGGGGGATGTTGGGGTGTACTCGTTTCCGCATGATAATGGTGACCCCTCTCTTCACTTCAAATTCGGGGTGGCGGAGGAGACGTTTGCGGGCGGATACTAGAACACTGTCGAAGTAGTGTTTGGAAGCGAGCCAACGAGTATCAAGGACAGTAATGGCCCGACTCAAGAGCGCACTGGGGATCCTGCCGAGATCGCCATGACTGAGATTCGCATCTACCACTGAACCTCAGCCGCGCTACATGCGACCCAGGGTGCTCGGGCGCTGACGCGGCGCCTGCTTCGGGAGGTCAGGCCGTCGACAAAGATTTCGGGGTCGAGAGGTCCAGGGGCGCTGCCAGGGTCGCGAAAACCAGCAGAGTGAGAACTGAACAATTTAAGTGGGTTTCAGGCCTGCATATCTGGAGTTTGACCCCTCGATGGAGGACGTCTGGGCGTATTTGCGAGATGAGGGGCGCCCGCTTGCTTCGCTACACCCGTTATTAGACGGTGCATCGGATGCCGCGAAAAGGGCCATGCAAGAGCACGCGGCCGCCGGTGAAACCAGGACCGAAGTTAGGGCAAAGCCACCCGCTCAGCCGGCGGGCGAGCCTCCTCCAGGGCGTTCGGGTGCCGGCGTGGCTCAGACACCGCCGGTTTTACCGCGTGGTGTCGATGCCCAGTTTCAAGGAGTTCCGGCAAAACCCCCACCGCCTCGGTCAGAGGTGCAGGCAGCTTCGCCGGCTCAGCTGGTCGACAGTGGACAAGTTAAGGCTCCGCCGGTTCCGCCGGTCGCTAGCCAGGCCACCCCACAGCAAGTGCCTAAGAAGTTCTCTCCGCCTCTCGAGCCACCGACTCCTCCAAAGTCACCGGCTCAGCCGACTCGCGGCGGAAATGGCCCAGAGGCAAGAGCTATAGCTGCATTGATCCCTGCGGGGCCTAAGACAAGGACTGCTGAGGCCATTGCAAAGACGCCTCCGCCGTGGATTAAGTCTTCTACGAGGCCGCCCGCCCCTCCTGTCCCAACAGGAGCGACTGCCGCGGAGGCTCCAGTCGCGCCTCCTTCGCCTGCGCCGACGGAGCCGCCGGTCCGAGTTTCGGAAATTCAACCGAATGCCCCAGAAAAGGCCGCCGGGTGCGCAAGAGCCCCGGCCTGGCATAGCCAGCGCCGACTAGGAACCCGCTGACATTTCAGCTTCGGGTTCCCAGGTGAAATTTCAATATGCGGCTGAATTTCGCTCTCCCACAGCTTCTGCGGTTGGATGTGAAGAACAGGTAGATCGGAGCGAAGATGAAGTCACGGTTGCTGATCCACCCGACGTTCCGTCGATGCCCCCCAGGGATCTCGGAGGTAACGACATCAAATCGGTAATAATAGCGATGGCCCGAGGTCTTCTGGAGACTCGCTTTGGGAAAGGTTCGCAGCGTGTTGAGTTGTCACTAGCAAATGAATTAGCATGGCTCTGGCACGCGCGCCCCTGGAGGAATCCACCCGAGGGACTTAGACTTTTGACAGAAAGGGAATTTCTAGAGCTCCATCATGGGATTTGAACATCCGAAAGGCACGGTGTGAATAACAAGCCTTGAGGAAGAAGGACATGGCCCCGGGGAGCATTCGCTGGCCAACAAGAATTGGGCCAGTTTGATACGAATGTTCATCAATGACCGTTACGACTCGTTCAAAAGGACCCCCGATGTCTCCGGGGCACTGGAGGCAGCTGCGCTCGTTGTGCAGCCCGGTGTAACCGGTGCTGACGACGACGCGGATGATGATGCGATCGAAGCTGAAGGGCGCGGCCCCTTGAGTCCGACCTCTTCCGCTGATGCGCCACTGCGAATTCCGTGCGATGGAGACAATATCGATCAGCCAGCGCAGTTTGACGTCGATGCGGAGGCCGGGCTGGGAGCTGTCAATATATTTGCGCGTGTGGATACGCCGAATCTCTTTGAATACAAACAGCTTCGACCTCGGGAACGGGCCCCCCCCCGGGAGGGGTGAGGTCTGTCAATCATGCGGTGATGACCCAAGGAAAGCCATTATATCTTACGGAGGCTGAGCGAGAGGTCGTTCGACATAATTCGCTTCGAGACCTCCAGAGAAGAATTCGCGGCGCCTATGGGGCTGGCCCTGCGCCCCCGTGCGTGGCAGCGATTCGTGGAAGGACTTATGGCGCCATCCGGGAGAACGCCGAGCTGGTCCAGGATCTTGTGGTTGCGCTGTTGGGTGAGCTTGCGGGCGACGAGCTCGCGGAAGCCATTCCGTATTTTCTCGCAAAATCCGATTCGGATGATTGTCCTGAGAAAATGACGCAACCGACTTACGCGGCATTGTCCCTTCTCGTAATGTCTACTGATGCTCCCGACTTAGGCGGAGCAGAGATGAACAAAGAAAACCACTTGTGATGGGGGGCGACATGTTTTGGAGGCTGTGCAGCCACCGTTTTTCTG